TTACACAGTATCCACGTGCATTCACAACACATGTGTGCACACACGTTTCCATGCATGTATGTGTTCGAGGATACGCGTACATATGTGTACATGTACTGACATACACGAAAACATATCTATCTCTTACACTGGACCTTCTCAAACAGGAGAGTGAGCACATTGCTGTGTGCAGTGAGCGTCAAGGTCACAAGAAAGTCTCCAAAAGGACTATAGGGAGGCCCCAGGGGGAGGGTCCTTCACAACAGGGGTTGGCATGAATTTTCACCTCACGATTCCTATGGCCTCCTCACGGATGGAAAATTTGAGAATCCTTTGGGAAAGACCTGGAGAAAGGAGGATTGCTCCTAATTTTCATAGTGAAGACCCTCCTCCCATCCAGTGCTTTGTTTCCAGTTGTATTGAAAAACCCACCAGGAGCCATGCCCATTTCTGCAGAGCCTTTGAGGGTTGCTTATAAAAGACTCACCTTCCATCCCTCCAGTGTGTCTGCTCACAGACGTTTGGAGGCGCCATCTTCCCTCTAGGGTGAAATAAAACCCAAGCGTCAGCCCCCTTCCCAGACTCATGTGGCTTCCAGTCCACATGGACTTCTGGCCAATCTCTAAGCTTGATATGGCTGCTCCCATCCCTGTTCTCACTTGATGGGGCCGAGTCACTGCTGGCGCCTTTTGGAATCCTTGTCTTCAAGCTCAGCTCAGTCAGTCATACAGTCAGCAAATGTATGAAGTCTTTGATGAAGTGGCCTCCCCTCCTAGCCCTCCCTGGTTGGTAACCTTGTCCTAATCTGTATACGTGAGGAATCTACCCAGGACCCTCTGGCCAAGAGACACAAAGCTCTGTCATGGCCTACCGTGTCCCAGATGACCTCTGGGCCCCCTTCTAGCTCTGAATCTGTGATCCAGTGAGGTTTCCAGAAGTGAATTCTGTAGGAGAGAGGAATGAGGAAGCAAGGGAAGGAGGAGGAGGAAGGGAAGAGGAGGAGAAGGAGGAAGAAGAGGAGAAGGAAGAAAAAAGAAGGAAGAGGAGGAGAAACAAGAGGAGAAGGAGGAAGGAAGAGGACGAGGAGAAGGAAGAGGGGGGAAGCACCTCATTGTCATGCATCTTCAGGCCTCCCACTCAGCTCTCAATGCCAAGACCTCTCTGTTTCCTTACTTACCTTGGGGATCCACCATGTTTATTCTGTGTTATACAGAGCTGTGTCAAAGTCCTTCTGTTTAGTAGCGAGCTCAGAAGCAGTGTGGTCATCAAGCCACCAGCTCTGCCTTGGCCTGGGCAGTGTGGTCTCTCCCCAGACAGGCCAAGGCCCTCTCTCAGCTTTCATCTTCCCCCTGTCCCCAAACACACCAGCCACCATCTTTGTGTTGCTCTTCTCCCCAGCTTTAGCAGTTGGGGCTTCATCTTGATCAGACCGTGGTGTGCTCTTCAATTGGTCCTGGCCCTTCCTGGTTGCATCTTCAGCAGCCTGAAGCCTGGAGCCCCAGTCAAGGGCAGGGCAAGGTGTGAGAGAATCCAAGTGTCCTAATGGGAGGAGGTGTCCCTTTGGCCCTCTCTCCTTCTAGACCTAGCTCTGTCAGACGAGCTGCGTGAGCTTAGCATTCACTTGCTCTCTCTCACCACGGTTTCCTAAGGTCTCTCCCAGCCATGATATTCTGTGACCTCACTTGTATAAGCCTCGAAGAAGCAGGAGAGATGAGAAGACAGCTGTTTGATGTGCCTGATCCCACCTCTCCCTCTGTGGTATGGGCCAGGCTCCAACATGGCACCAGGAATCCAGCAGGCGGCTGCTGGTCCTCACTCATGGGAACAGGGGTGGGGGGAGGCGGCAATGGACGCTCTCCACCAACGTTTTGGCTCAGATGGAAACCTTTTTCTGAAATGGGAATGTTTATTGTCATGAGTGCAATGCCCTTCAAATCCTCCCCCAGCACTAAATTATTTAGAAAGCTGGAGATCAGGAGAAGCATTACTCAGACGCTGGCAATATAAGGCAGCTGGTGATATGACGGTCCTGGAATCAGGAAGAGCTAGATTCAAATCCAGTCTGTGTGACCCTGGACAAGTCAATTGACTTCTGTCTGCCTCGGTTTCATCATCTGTAAAATGGACAGTATCCCAGAAAGAACACAGAGCCCGTCCTCTCCTTTGTAAGACAGTCTTCTCAGACAAACAGAACTGCATTCTTCTGGCCTCAGACACAGCTGTGAATTCACATTCACCACCACGGCAAGACTTAGCTCCCCAATTGTTTTGCCCACAGTTTGCTCATGTCAGATTCTGAAAATGTTCATCTCATCAGAGAAGGCTAGTAACAAATATTTTACAGATCAGAAGGCTGGTTGGTGTCTCTAGAATGATCCACAATGAACCAGTGTGAGATTCAGGCTCCAATTCATTCTACTGTGGACTAGGGAGGGACAGAGGAGGGCTTGTTAGGAAAAAGAATGGGAGCAAAGCCCAGGATGAGTGTCAGCCTCCCAGCATGGGTGGCTCCCAAGCGTGCAGCCCATAGGCACGCTCTGGGGCATACTGGGAACCTAGGGCAGCATCCTTGGCGGCTGGGGATGGCCCTGGATCTCCTACTGGGAAGATATCATGAGTCTCTCCTCAATGTGCTTCTCACCCACACTCAAACTAGAAGCTTAGATTGTCAGGAGTAAAAAGTCACCGGTGGCAAAGGCAGCTTTAGACTGAACATTTTAAGTTTATCAAATTCACTTTTAACAGCTAAACATGCGTCTTCTCCCTGGTGCAGGCAGTATTCAACCTGACATCCTTTGCACACCCATTCACACCTTGGTTTAGCTTTGTCTCCCATCTCCATGCTTTTGCACTCCTGCCTGGTCTCCGTGTCAGGACAGGACTCTCCCTTCCCATCTCTGCCTCAGTGAATCAGATCATACCCCACCTTCGGCAGAAAACCTAGCGCCCTTCCTCCCAACTTACACTGCTTTCTATGCAGCTTTTTAAAAATTCTTTCTGTGTCCTTGCATCTTAGAACAATGCCTGGAACACAGTAAGTGCTTAATAAATGCTTGATTGATGGCCCTGACAGGGACTGCACATTGACCTTTCTGGGTCCTTTGTCTTCATGGAGAGTCATTTCTGTGCCTGATTTCAAATGAGTAGCATGATGCTGGGGAATCTTAGGGTAAAGTGGACCACCCTACCCACTGTGAGTGCCGGTCTCATGGAACATGACTGCTCTCGGAGAAGCACGCCCAGAATTCCAGACTGGCAGACTTGCCTGTCTCAGTCCCTCTCTGGGGGTGGTGGGGGTGGGGGCTGGGGGCCTTTCCTGGGAAGCCCCAGACACTGAGCCTGCAAATTCTGAGGACGTCAGAACGAACCTTCAGTAGCTGTGGGTTGGCTGGGCTCCCCTACTCAGGCCTAGGTTTTAGATTTTAGTCGTTTGGGGGTAGACCTGCTTTTTCATAGAAATATGGTATCAGCCCTTTTCTACATATGCTTTCTGTCAGCCCTTTTTTTCAACTATTCACTTCTGGGGCCTCATTTCCTGAGTGCAGTATTTTCCCAAATTGAAGAGAAAAATGCAGAATTGTGGAAAATGGGGCTAGCGCTCAGTACAGAGAAATGGATGAGGAGAGGGGCCGTCATGTCACTCAATACCATAGTGAACTTGAACCAGGGTCAAGAGGGAGACTGTGCCTTGTTGCCATGACCCAGGTAAGTGTTTGGCCAAAAAAAAATCCTACACGCTGACCACAAGTCCTGGTTGCTTGCTTGGGTTTGTTTGGTTTTTTTTTTTTACCACTCCTTGGTTACATTCTAAGATCCAAGTGCTCATGCTGTCCTGCCTAGCACCTCCAGAATCATCATGGACACACAACTTTGTGCTAGAATGTGGATGCCGAGTGGCCTTTGCTGGGGTTTGCTTATGTCCAGCCTTCAGGAACTGCTGGTGGGAAGAAAACGGACAATAGTCATTCCTTGACCCTTCAGAGAGCTAATCTTGGGCCAGGGAACAAAAAGCTGGGGCTTTTCATAAAAGTGCTGACTTCTTTATGGAGAGGAGGCTCAGACCCAGTTCGAGTTTGGCCAGGAGCACCTGTAGCCAGACGCCTGGGATGAGTAGAGGGCAGACTTCCATAGAAATGGCATTTAAGGCATCAGTCCAGCTACTATTCCAGCCTGGTTCTCATTTTCAAATAATTCTCTTTTCTGTTCCAAACACTTGCATAATATCTTTAAGCAGTTCTTTTTTGGATTCCATCAAGGGGAATATCACAGTCCTTAAAACAGTCAACAAGAATTTACGCGGGTAATTTGCATTCATCTCTCTCTCTGTCTCTCTGTCTCTCTCTCTGTCTCTCTCTCTCTGTCTCTCTCTCTGTCTCTCTCTCTGTCTCTCTGTCTCTCTCTCTCTCTCTCTCTCTCTCTCTCTCTCTCTCTCTCTCTCTCTCTCTCTCTCCTTGGAATTGTGCACAGAGGAAGCTGTTCTGATGCAGGTGATTTCTTATAAGCCCCTTTTTACTTTTGCTTCATGAATCAGCAATCACCATAAGGGACCAAGGTGAGCTGACAGCAGGCAGGTCTCCTAGCCTTGTGGACCTTGCATCAGAATCTTGAGTCCATGGATCAATAGGATGGAGTCTGGAGAGAGAAGGGCCGCTGTGGCCCCAGGTCCACTGCCAAGGTCAGGATCAAGTTGGTGGCCGAGGTCGAAAGCTAGCACCAGCCGTCAGTGACTTTGGCATTGAGACCTGGGCAGTGGTCTCTAGGGTGACGCACACACCGTCCTTCAATGCACCTCATTCATTTGAACATGCCCCCCGCGTGACAGATAGACGCGGACTGATGGAAAAGCGGCTGAGCTTAAAGAAAACGTTTGCTCATTTCGGGAGCCCGAGGGCCGCTGGCCTCCTGGGGGGGGGCGGGGGGGGCGGCGCTCAGACCAGCCTGCGGGGGCGGGGGGGGGCTGTCCTGGTGGGGAAGGCATCTCACTTGCCCCTTTTCAAATTCTCACGTATCTTTTCCCCCAGCTTGCTGTTCCTCACAATGATGAGTGGACCCGGCTTGCTCGGACACTCGTGGAGATCCGCGCCAACAGAGCCGACAGTGAGGAGGAAGGGGCCGCGGAGCTGGCTGCCTAGAGACGAGCTGGCCGGGCTGGCTCGCGGGCGCACGCCCATTCTCCCGCAGGGCAGGGTGTCTGCCAGTGGGGAGTGCCCCGTGTTCTCCGTGGATATGGTGTTTCTGTGGCTTGCTTCGCGTGCTCCCTGCATTCATTAAAGCATCCGCCCATCCCCGCTGCCCGTGAGCCTATAAACAGCCAGAGCGTTCCTAGACTTTATATTTATGTCTCCAAAGTAAAAAGCGGGGAAAGGGGAAACCAAACCTTTATGGATTTCGTTGTTGCCTTTTAACTACTTCGTAGCTGTGTTTAATAGCCAGGAGCCCCGGCCCAGTCGGCGACCCGGGAAGCCGGGTGGGAAGGATCGCGTGCGGCTGAGGCGCTGCGCCCGCCGGGGGCTAGGTCCTCGGGGACGCCTTAGGAATGTGCTTTCTGCCCCTCGCTGCTCCTTATTTATTGCGGGTGGGGGTTGGGGTGGGGGGCGGGTGGGGAGTATGTGCGTGAACACTCCAGCGCTGTATGGATCGTAGCTGCTGGGAGGCATCAAAATAAACGACCTACAAACATGGGCGTAATGAGCCCCCCTCCCCGTCGCCCTGCCTCGGCAGCAGAGTTCCTCCAGCTCTGACTCCTTATTAGGGCGGGCCAGGTGCGCTGAAAACGCCCAGCGGAGCGAGGAGGCCTGGAGGGATCGGAGGAGGCGAAGGCCCATTATCCTCGAGTTCCTCACCAATATTTCAAGGCTATCTGGGTCGTGGATGTCGTTTAAGCTAGCAGAGCCTGGCAAAAGTTTGTGGTTCCTGAATGTGACCCCAGAATCGCCAATAAAATAATCAAAACCATTTCTGTGGCTCGAGTGTCATGTCACACCAGGCGTGGCCGTCCCCCCGGCCACAGTGTGTCCAGAGACAGCCCCCAAAGGGGGCTCATCCTATAACCAGCTCATCCATCCACTCCTGCCCTGCTTACTCTAGGGTGTCCAGTACTCCTCTGTCCACTATGCCTTTGGGTTTCAGGCACCACCCTCCACCCCCATGCCCCTGCCCAATCAAAGGGCTGCACTTGAGGACCTAGAGGGCCACATGTGGCCTCGAGGCCCAAGGTTCCCCACCCCTTCGAGTGTCTTCATGGTTTTGGAGGATAGACAGGAGGGCCTGGGGGTTTCACAGTCAGGGAACTAGACCTTGTCACATACCCTCCACAAGTAGGAAAAATTCAGTGTTTTGTTTTGTTTTTTCTCTCTCTCTCTCACGGATCAGGAAATACTGGGATTCTTAAAAAAAAAAGTATTGTCTGGATACAGCTGACCCAATAAAGGAAACTGAAGATCTGCTAAAGTTGTTCCTGCCAGGATTTAAACTAAGGGGTCTTAGGATTTTATTTAACCCATTAAGACAGATTTCTGCTGCTTTAGTGGGGATGAAGAGGAATCCTTCCATTGTAAAATTCCCTTAATCTGAAAAAAGCAACAACATGTGCCCCAAGATTTCCAAAGAGTGACTGTTGGGTTTTTTGGTTTTGTTTTTTTAAACTGAAATGCAGCTTCTTTCCCCCCCCCCACCATTCAGATAACTGAAGTAGGATCCAACTTCACACTGGGTTTGTCTCATTGAACAGGACTCTGGGCCTCACTGGCTGAGATCTACTTAGTGGAAGGGGACCTGCTCCCTGCCCAGCCAGGGCTTGTGGCGGGGGCCAGAGGCACCCAGGCACTGCTCAGGCCTTCTCAGTCAGCTCTGAGTCTTTGGGCTGAAGCACCCATCAGCCCCTAGCTGGCTGCTCTCCAGGGTTTTACTACCTGTCTTTGCTGTGTTAGAGGGTTAGGGTTGGGGTTAGGGCTGGCCACTGGCTTTTCCACTCTTCATTTAAATAGATAAGCTTCATGTAGCTAGTACTGTGTAATGGAGACATTTCCAGTTATTTGCTACCTCCCTATGCGACATTTTCTGAGAGTTACCTGTGTTATGATCACTTTAGTGTCATTCCCAGAGTTTCCCAAGTAAAATTCTCTTAAATTAACTTTCATGGTGGAGGGGGAGGAGTCCCTTTTCTACTCATCTTGCCCTGAATCTATCCTACTCTACTATCTAGGGCACAGGGGAAACTCACCCATATACAAATTTCACAGATTCCAAGCCTTCCTCGACCTCAGGAGGCTTTGGGAACTCACAAGAGACTACTTCTGAGGCACCTGCATGTGATGACAGATAGTGGGGGATGGGCACTAGTGCTGTGGCCTGGAGGTAGAAGGGGCACTCCCCCAAAAGTCAGCTTCTCTGAACTGCTTCCTGCTCAGCTAGACATGGGCCACCCTTGCAGGAAGACCAGCCTCCCTCAGGGTGGTGAGGGAAGCAACCATGACAACAGGGAGGTCTGGGCAAACTGGACACCATTGCCTGCCCTCGGATCATCTTCCCCACCCAGGCTGCTTAGCCACTCCCTGGATCCCAGGGGGATGAGGGGTCTCACAGGTAAGGGTGTTGATGGTCTGAGTCACTTCTGAAGAAACAACAGAAATCATCTCCCTTTCTGAGGGGTATAGGATGCTGCAGGTAAGGAGATGGTGGGGAAAGCACTGGATTCTGAGTGCGAGGGCCTCAGTTCAAATCCTGGCTCCACTCTGCATGCCCAGTGTGACTCCCCAGTGAGGCTTAGGCTCCCTCTCTGAAATGCAGGGACCCCCATCCAACACAGACACACACACAGACACACACACACACACACACACACACACACACACACACACACACACCACCACCATGAATAAAGAATGGTGATTCCCCCTGGAGCCATGTGCTGGGGTGGGGAATAGCAAGCATATGAATCTGGTTGGAGCTGAAGATCTGCAGGGGAAAGCCGTGGAAATCTAGGGAGATAGGGCTGAGGGCAGTGGGAAGGATGGTCCTCAAAGCAGCCACAGAATGAATAGGATACAACTGAGTTACAGGGCAGCCACTGAGTTCTGCATCAGGAGGAAGGGATGTGTCAGAAACAGAGGATATCGAGGAAGAGAGGAGGCCCCAGTGAGGACAATTCAGGGCAGGGCTAAAACGGGGTTGGCTGTGGAAGGAGAAGGAAGTCAGCCTGTCACAGAAGAGAGATTCATTCACTAAGAGGCTGGGGAGGCTATTTATTGAGCACTTACCTAGTTCGAGGAGGATCGACTAGCATCTATGGCGTGCCAGGCAAACAAAAGGACCTCCAAGTCCTTACATTCTAAGTACGTTTTGTCTGAGGAAATGATAAGCACGTATGCACACAGAAATAAAAACAAGATATTTATAATGTAGACTGGGGGCCCCTTGAAGGTGGAGCAATTTGGGAAGGTTGCATGAAGGAGAAAATGCTGGAGCCAGAGACTGTAGGAAGCCAAGAGGAGGAGGAGAAGGGGGGGGGAGAAGGGGAGGGGGAGGGGGAAGAAGAAGGGGCAGTGCATGGCAGGCAGGACCTTGGCATAGATAGATAAGGAAGCCTGATTTCTGAATGTTATAGGGTGTGTGTGTTACTAGATCGTTATGGGAATGGAACAGTGGATGAGAAATCAGGGGTGAGAGTCTCAGTTTGTAAGTCTTTGGGTAGATATGGAGTGTAGCTGAAAACTGTGGAAGTGCATTGAGCCTCAGAAAGGAGTGGGTACAGAGAAACACAGGCCCAGGGCTGTCCCTCAGGGGACAACTGAAGAGAAGAAGAGGGTCTGAGGGCAAGAAGGTGGGGAGCAGAGGATCAGGGGTGACCAGAGGATCAGAAGACTAAGACTTGAGAATTGTGATCATCAACAATGTGTGTGAGAAAGAAGAGAAGGAGGAGGAGAAGGGAGGAGGAGGAGGAGGAGAAGAAGAGAGGAGAGATGAGAAAGAGAAGAGAGAAGAGAAAAAAGAAGAGCAGGAGAAGGAGGAGGAGGAAAGAGAGAAGAGAGGAAAGAGCAAGGTGGGGAGAGAGGAGGAGAGAGAGATTTATTACAGGGGAGTGATGTCCATGGGAATGGGAATCTGACTATTGACTTTAAGAAGGATATGGGTGAGAGAGAAAGGCTACAAGAAACGATCTCGTTGTACCCATTTGGAGAGTCAAGCTGTTAAAGGTGGAGTCCACGTGGCACTGTGAAGAGGACCTGAGTTCCAGTGCGGCCCCTGAGGCTTATTCTCTGTGTGACATTGGACGGATCCCCTAACTTCCCTAGGTGGAAGGTCCATAAGATGGTGATTCTCTCCACCTAGATGAGAGGGCGGGGCAAAAAGGCCCCACCGAAGAGGGCCAGTGAGAGGCTCAGCCTATCATGGGCTGGAGTAGGGGAGAGGTGTGGCTGAGAGAAGGGGGATGAAGTGGCCAGAGAAGCCGAGTCCAGCCTGCAGGTGAGTGGTGGGCCAATGAATTTGACACTGGATGCCTGGGAAGACTGAATGATTTATTAGAGGTTGGTTGGGGAATCACTAGAAGAAGCAGTAGTCGCCAAGGACCGGATCATTTCCTTTCGGACAGAGTTACAAAACCGGGGGAATGTTGTAGATCAGTTTAGCAAGTCTCTCGTGCTCTCCTTGTGGCTAAGAGGGAAGGACTCGGGCTCGAGGACAGAAGAGTCAGGACGAGCCGGGCTAGGCGGGAATGCCCCGCCCCCCTGCAACGGGCGTGGCCCCGTGTTAGGAACCGAGGCTCGGGACCAAAGAAGAGTGTGATTATTAACACGCAGGAGGCACCAAACTGGGAGGGAGGGAGGGCTGATCCGAAGGGATCAGCTGAGTCTAATAAGAGGAATCTCAGTGACGATAAATGTAAAGACTTCTATTTGGGGTCCAAAAACTCAACCGACACAAACACAAAAGGAAGGAGACTTGGGGGTGTGTGTATCCCAAACAGTCCTTGATGCTGGGCCAATGAGTTTCGTGCTCCTGTCTGTCCCTGCGTGACGGAAGGACAGACAACTAGGGTGAAGAAGCACCCAGTCTCATGAGGAAGTGGGCAAATCTGGCTGCGGAGAAGATCCATAGGAACAAAACCGCTGTGTTCAAGTCTCTGAAAGGCTATAATGAGACATAATAACAACACCCTCTATAACATTATGTGTTAGGTTTGCAAAGCGCTTTACGTATGTTGACTCATGTGGTCCTCACAACCTCGGGAGGGAGGTGCTGCACTGTGCCGCATCCCAGGTGTTTAAAACCGCAGCCAAACAACGAGACACATTGAACAAGGGGGACGGGGAGGACTGCAAGGCCCCACCCACGACCACGGGAGGGGGTGGGGTGGGGGAGAAGCTCTTCCTGGCCCCATCTTTGTGGTCAGGGTCGCAGCCGGGTGCACGCGGTGGTCCTGATTCTGCTTCTGTCCATCCCAGGCCCTCCACATTCTGGGTTCCTACTCATTGGATCACATTCTGTGGCACTGGAGGACCTGGGTTCGAGTTCTGGCTCTGACGCCTCCAGAGACCTAGCTGTGTGGGCCTTTAAAATGGGGGCTGGACACCGAGACTTTGGAGTGCCTTTAGCTTTCAATCATTTCTCTAAATCAGGGGCAAAAGAAAAAGAGGGTTAAATCCACCCACCCTCACCCAAATCGACTGCAGATCTTCTCACCTTATAGGACTTTGTGCAGGAAATCTGCCCCTCTCAGCTCCTTAGAATGAGGTGACCTTAGTTGGAACTTGGATCATCTTTTTGTTAACTTTTTATTAAGTTATTAAATGAGGTAAGCCCTTAGCACAGTGCCTGGAACACAGCAGGTGTCACATAAGTGCATGTTTCCTGCTCCTTGGTGACCGCTCCTGAGCCAACCCTAATTTGACAAATTTGAAATTACTAGATATTGGCTGACAGCTCTCAGATGCCAGGCTGGACCCTCTGGATTAA